GCGATGTTATGGCGGATCCAGCCATTCAGCAACTCCTTCGAGAGGCTCAGGTCAGCGGACGCCGAGCGGGGGCCAACATGGCTTCCGAAGGTCCACCACCTCCCGAGGCTTGGGATCCGGGGGGGGGGGCGCTGAAGATGGCCCGGGGGTGGATGTTCCCGTGATCGAAAGGGGCTCCGGGGCCGCCGCCGGAGAGTCGCTCGAGAGGTCACCTCAACCAACTCCTGGAGAGGAGGGAGATCCCAGAAGGGGGCAAAGCGGGACATGAGGGCCCCGTTTCTAGAAGCTCCTCCCGGACATCCCTCCATTCCCGAAGGCATGGAGGCGACCCCCTCAGACGACACTCGCGATCCCGAGATGAGTGGCGGGCAGATCTCGAGAGGAGTCTCGTCCGATCTGGTCAGCGCCGGAGTTTTGTCTCGATCAGAGTCTAGAGACTTGCTCGCACCTTCAGACGCTGCGCCCCGCGCCGCGTCGGAGAGGGACGGCGTCGCGGGCAGGGGCACGCGGCAGAGGCCCCCTCCTCCACCACAAGGGGAGAAGAGGGGGCGCGCCTCGGAGCAAGGGGCTGCCCCGTCGGGCGCGCACGGCGAGCTCCCAGAGGCGCCCCGCCAGGCTCCGGACGCTCCTCCGCCCGCCAATCCTCCTAGGTTGAGCATTGCCGATACGGCTAGCCACCATCGCCTTGCCGATTCAGACCCCGGTCGGATCCTGCGCGAGATGGAGGAAGCTGCGAGGCGCAATCGACAACTGGACGGGTATACGTTAGCCAGGCTCACCCCCGGGGAGACTTTCCGAGGGACCCCAGTGGGTAGGGTCCAACAGCAAGTTTCCGAGTTAGAGCCCGCGCCACAGCGTCCTCGAGCCAGGTCTCGCTCCCCAGGTCCGTCCCTGGGCGTGGCTTTGGCGAGTGCTTCTCCTGTTCCCGAGCAAGGGGAAGCGACGACCGTCGCCGACGCCTTCTTCGAGGCTTGTGCCAGCGACGGCGGAAGCCATAGGGCGGCGTTTCAAGATTTGAATCAAAGAATCCAGGACCAGCTTGTCAGGCCCCTATATGCGGCCACGCTGATTCCGGGCAGGCCGCGCTGTCGATCCGGCGGAAGGGGAAGGGGCAGGCAGGCGACGACGAACGCCCAGGCGGGAGGCCAGGGCCGGCGGGGCGGGCGGGCAGGCAAAAGACGGGCCAGGCGGAGACAGCAGACAGGGAGCAGGAGGAAAGGAAAGCCCTGGCCCTCCAACCTTCCGAACCTTCCGGGTAGGGCTGTTTTTTAATGGTTTGTTTACAAGAGTTTCGTAAAGCTTGCATGGGTGTTAGCCAATTTCTTTGAGTTTTATATCAAAAGGTAAAGTTATTATGAGTTATTGTATGTTTTCTCATAGTCCTTCAATGTGGTCGGAGATCAGGGAGTGAGATCGGAAGTCGGTTCGGTTTCGCGTTCGCGTCGCGCGTGCGATGCGGAGCGCTTCTTCTGGCGCCCAGCGCGCGGCCAGACGAAAAGACAGCCCCCCGTCCCCCCCCCACGCGGCAGGGGGGAGTCAGGTGTGTCCCGCCGCGGTGTTCCGATGGTGTCTCGTGGTGTTCCGTGGTGTCTCGTGATGTATCGTGGTGTCTCCTTGTGCCTCGTGGTGTCTCGTGGTGTCTCGTGTTGTCTCGTGGTGTTTTTCGTGGTGGCTCGTGGTGTTCTGTTGTGTTTCGCGGTGGTTCGTGATGATTCATGGTGTCTCGTGGTGTCTCGCGGTGTCTCGTGGTGTCTCGTGGTGTTTCGTGGGTTCTCGTTCTGGTGTTTCATGGCGGTGTCTCGTGAGGGTGTTTCGTGCTGGTGTGTTCGTGATGGTGTTTCGTGATGGTGTCTCGTGCTGGTGTCTCGCGATGGTGTCTCGTCATCGCGTCTCGTGATGGTGCCCCGTGGTGTCCCGCTGTTTTTCGTGAGAACGATAGTGGGATCGATATCGAGATCGACAGTGAGATCCATAGCAGGATCTAATGAGATCGATCGTGCCATCGATATTGATGTCGATAGTGAGATCGATCGTAATATCGACAGCGATAGTGATAGTGGGATCGATCGGGAGATAGATGGTGACATCGATTGCGAGATCGATTGCGCTCGAGTGATAGATCGATCGAGTGGCATCGACAGTGGGATCGATCGAGATCGATAGTTTGGCCGACGGAGAGCGATAGTGAGAACGATATTGAAATCGATCTTGAAATCGATACGGAGATCGATGTATAGGTTGGTGATGTACTCGATCGAGTGGGACATTGCTTCCCTCCCCCGAACCTCCTCATCACCCGAAGGGTGGTCGTATATGTATATTTCGGGCTTTGATTTCACGCGAACAGAGCTTGCACGTAGGGGATTCGGCCGAGCTGTGGCATATGATGGCGAAACCTGTGGTGCAATTGGTTGGTCGGCCCCTCTATGGCGCAACCTATGGTCACGGCGCAGTTTGTGGCGATCAACGCATGGCGCAATTAAGGCACGGTCCAGCGCCCTTCGACAAGCAACACAGGCGTCAGTCCTTCGCACGCCGCGCTCGGCAGGAAAACGGTTCTCAATTAAGCATGAAGGAAGCGTGTCTTGAGGGAACGGGCTTTGGATCCTTGACACCACCTTGGGTCCCAAGTTGGACCTCGACGCCCCTGGAGCAGTTCTTTGTTCTTTCGGACGGTATCCGAGCCCGCCGAGGGGGCCTCGACGGCGAAAAACATCGTCCAACGTCCGTTCCACCATGACCCGCTTCCTTCATGGCGGACAGTGCTCTATACAAGGCGAGTCGGCGCGCATCGCCGGCAACCGCCCCTGCCGATGAAATCCATGAAATAGAAGAAGCACGTCATGCACTGCAGGCACGGCGACGGCCCACGGCTCCAGGGGCCAGAGCGAGAAACCAGGGGCCGCGGGAGTGGAGGAGGGGGGGTGGAGGACGGGAAATAGGGAGGACGAGAGGGGGAGGGGAGGGGAGAGGGAGGAGGGGAAGGAGAGAGGGAGGGTTAGGAGGGGGAGGGCGAGGGGGCAGGGTGAGAGAGGTCGTCCTCGTCGGATCCCCCCATTTCGCCCCAACGCGGAGACAGCGAGGGCCCCCGAAGGCCAAACAGCCCTGAACTTGAATCCTCGTGGTTCGAGGTTGAAACCTCGATGTGGGGGGGAATCTTCCCTTGCCTCCTCCTCCTCCTCCTCCTCCTCCTCCTCCTCCTCCTTATCCTCCTCCTCCTGATAGTTTTCAATTCGGCTTGACAAACATCCCTCCTATCCCTCATTATGATCTCCCTCCTATCCCTCCTCATCCCTCCTGCCGCCCGCGGAGAATGCAGGGGCCTGCCGCACGCGGAGCAGGGGCCTGAAGCACACTAGTGTCGTTCAGCCTAAGGCGTGGGCCTCCAAGGAACTGAACAAAATTTCGAGGTCGCTTCCTCCTCCTCCTCCTCCTCCTCCTCCTCCTCTTCCTCCTCCTCCTCCTCCTCCTCCTCCTCCTCCTCCTCCTCTTCCTCCTTTTCCTCCTCTTAATTGGCCTGCAGAGGTGCTGATTTTGGAGGAGGGATCCCACGTGTTCACTGACGGCTCCGCTTTTGAGCCCCTACTGCCCCGGGTTCGGGCTTCGGGATGGGCGGTGGTTGTGACGGACGGGTGGGGGAAGGTCTTTCGTGCGATCTGGGGGCGCGTGCCCCGCAGCGTTGCCCCCGACCAGGTTGCTCGTGATGGCGAGGATTTCGCCATTGTCTCCCTCGTCCGCCACGCTCTGGTGACGCCCGGAGTCAATCTTCACATCGATTGTTCTGGTACGGCCGATCTGGCCCGCGATCCGTCCTCCGCAGTGTGCCCGGATAACCCTCGGTCGCACCTGTGGCAGCATGTGCACGATAAGCTGGATGGCGTCGTGGTCCATAAGGTGCCGGCTCATTGCTCGGATCGCGACGTGTTGGAAGGAAAATTGAGCCGCCTCCAGCTGCTGGGCAACCGTGCCGCGGACTCGTATGCAAAAAAAGTGCTGAGCTAGGCAGGCTCGCCCCCGACGACCTCCTTGTGGTTGAGGGGTGCCATGAGATGGCCCGCCTTGTTTCCCGCTTCGCGGCTGAGCAGGAGGCCCGGATCGGAAATTCGAAGGTGTTTGACCACGTGAGCCTAGACTGGCTCAAGCATGTGGACCTCGACCTCCCTCCTCTTCCCTCTTGTGGTGGGGAGCGGTGCGACGGGCGTGGCAGTGCGGGTGGGACTGGGGAGGTTCATGAAGAGGCCCCTCATGGGTCCCAGCAGGCTGCAACCCAGTCGGAGACCGCCCCTGCTGCTGCTGTCTTGTGGCCTGAGCTGGCCCCTTGGCCCGCCCAGAACCATTCGGTTTTGGAGGCCGCGGTCTTCGACTCGAATGGGTTGGCCGCTGGCTCGATAGCTCTGTGCTCTTCGTGCGGAGCCGTGTGCCGGATAGGAGGCCACTGGGGTAGGTCTGCTCTCGCGTCAGATTGTTTGCACGCGTGCTCCACGGGCCGTGACAGGCAATTGGCTTGGATTTTGCGCGGGGACCATCCGTCTCGCAAAGGCTTCCGTGTCGACAGGCCGACGGTGATTTCGGAGGCATCGAGGGCCTGGCTGGCACCCAAGATGGGGTTGGAGCAGCAGCCTGCCCTCGCACGGCCGCCTGCCGAGCGCTTGACGCCCGCGGCTCCTACTGGGATGGGGGTGGACTTGGCGAGGGGGTTGGCTTTGTTCGGCTTCCCAGATCGGGCTACGGCCGAGGCCCTCGGTGCCCGAGCTGTGGAGCGCAGGAACCGTGCGGCTCGAGCCGAATCCGAAGTGAATTCGTTTGAGTTTTAACCCCGACTTGTGGGGCGTCCTTGGCCCCAGGTGGCGACCTCTTTGAGGCCGAGGTGCCGCCTTTGGTTTTTATGCATGCTAGAATGCGATCGCTTCCCCAGCGGGTGCCGGATTCCTTTTCCTCCTCCTCCTCCTCCTCTTCCTTCTCCTCCTCCTCCTCCTCCTCCTCCTACTCCCTCGGGCGCTCTACGCCCAGAAGCCGCTACCCTGCGGGGGCGCGTCGGGCACCTCACTGGGCTCCAGCTGCTCGTAGTCGTCGTGCTCGACCACGGTGTCGGACTCGTCGGACTCGATTCGCTCCGCCGCCATCTGCTGCAGCCACGCGGCCCACCTCTGCTTCTCGGTGGGCGGGGTGCTCGGCGGCCGCGGCTCGCCCGCGCACGTGAGCGCCAGCGGCGGCCCGCCTGCGCGCTCCCACGGCGGGTGGCTCGGCTGGTGCGGCTCGCCCGCGCACCGGATCGCTCGCCGGCGCGGCTCGTCGGCCGCCTCCGCGGCCGCGGTCGGCCGCTTCTTCGCCGCAGGCGCGCCGAGCCCCAACCGCGGGCGCGGCGCTGGGCTAGCCGCAGGCTCCGCGAGCCACGGCGCTGGGCGGGCCGTCACTGCCCCCGCCGCCGCCCGCTGCGTCAGCCAGGGCGCTGGGCGGGCCGTCACGGCCCCAGCCGAGCCCGCCGCGCGCCGCGCCAGAGCCGCCGCTGCTGCCTCCGCGGGCGGGGCGACTCGTGCCGCCCGCCGCGCCGCGCCCGAGCCGTCGCCCTCCACGGCCAACACGGCTACGGACGATCGAGGATCATCCCGAGGATTGGCTACCCCGAGGCTCGGCCATCCTGAGGCTCATCCCGGGGCTCACTCGAGGCTCGGCTCATCCTGAGGCTCATCCCGAGGCTCATCCGAGGCTCATCCTGAGGCTCGGCTCATCCTGAGCCTCGGGATGAGCCTCAGGATGGCCGAGCCTCGATCCCGAGGCTCATCCTAAGGCCATTCCGAGGGCCATTCTGAAGCAAGAGGAGGAGGAGGAGGAGGAGGAGGGCGAGGAGGAGGGAGGAGGAGGAGGAGAAGGATGATCGAGGAGGAGTAGGAGGAGGAGGAGAGGAGAGAGGAGGAGGAGGAGAGGAGGAGGAGGAGGAGGAGGAGGAGGAGGAGAGGAGGAGGGAGGAGTGGAGCGCAGCCCTGTGCAAGGCTCCACCGGTGCAAGGAGGAAGAGGAGGAAGAGGAGGAGGAGGAGGAGGAGAAGGGGGAGAGGAAAGGACGAGGGGAGGGAGCAAGAGGAGGAGCAGGAGAGGACACGAGGCTTAGCTTTAGCTTAGCTTTAGCTTAGCTTTAGCTTAGCTTTAGCTTAGCTTTAGCTTAGCTTTAGCTTAGCTTAGCTTTAGCTTAGCTTTAGCTTAGCTTTAGCTTAGCTTTAGCTTAGCGTTACTGTTACTACTAATGCTGCTTTCCTAGGGGTTCCAACTCCCAGGTAGGGTCACACTGGGATAATTATTGGTGTGGGCAAGAATAAACCGTGCCAGCGCCCATCAGCACCCCTGTTGAGTCTCTGGGACACAGCGGTCTCTGCCGCGACGTCGCCGGCGTCGTCGTCGACGACGACGGAGACGACTCGCGGCCCGAAAGCCAGGGCTGGCAGTGCCAGCGCGGTGCGGATCCACATCCGCTGACCAGGTCAGCAGCAGCACGGCCTCCACGGTTCGGCCGCATCTGTTGGCCTTCGGGCGCGGGCGGGTGGAGGATCAAGCAGGAGGTGGGGGGATTGGAGAAGAAGGATGGGAGGCAGGAGTATAATCATGATTATGGTGGTGATGGCGATGATTCCGATGATGACGGCGATGACTACGATGCCGATGACGACGACGACGATATGATGATGCTGATGATGATGATGCTGAAGCTGATGATAATGCAGATGCTGATGTTGATGTTGATGCTGCTGGTGCTGCTGATGATATTGGTGCTTTCGTTGCTGATGTTGCTGCTGTTGGTTGCGATGATGACGACGCTGATTATGATGATGCTGCTGCTGATGATTATGGTGATGATTAGGATGACGATGATGCTGCTGATGATGATGCGTGCGATGATGATGATGATGATTATGATGCTGCTGATGATGATGATGCTGATGATTGTGATGGTGATGATGATGCTGCTGATGGTAATGCTGCTGATGATGATGGCGATGCTGATGCTGATGCTGCCGATGATGACGATTATGATGGTGATGGTGGTGATGATGATGTTGATGCTGCTGCTGATGATGATGATGATGATGATGATATGATGATGATGAACAGAATGGTGATGATGATGCTGCTGATGATGATGACGAGGAGGAGGAGGCGGAGGAGGAGGAGGAGGATATTGAGGAGGAAGAGGAAGAGGAGGAGGAGGATGACGAGGAGGAGGCGGAGGAGTGGGAAGAGCAGGGCGCGGAGCAGAGGGAGGGAGAGGGAGTCGAGGGATGAGGGGGGGAGTGAGCCGACCCCCCGGGGACCGACGGTCCGCGCGCTGTCCCAGCCGACCCCCATGGGAGCCGACGGTTCCGCGCGCAGTCCGAGCCGACCCGCCAAGGACCGACGGTCCGCGCGGACCCCCATGGGAGCCGACGGCCCCGCGCGCAGTCCCAGCCGACCCCCCGGGGACCGACGGTTCGCGCGCAGCCCCAGCCGACCCCCCGCGGGTCTCCAAGGAGGGGAGGGGTGGGAAGAGCGAGGGGAAGCGCCTTATCGCCACTCTCCTCCCCCTCCTCCTCCTCGTCCTCTTCCTCCTCCTCCTCCTCCTCCTCCTCCTCCTCCTCCTCCTCCTTTGCACGCTCCTCCCTCTACTGCCACGCCTTCCTTCCCATTCCTCCTCCCCTACCGCCCCCCTGGCCCCGACGCGCGGCTGAGAAGTGGGATCTTGGCGAGGAGGCGAATGAACGGGGGAGAACTTCTGGCGGAGGAGGCCGGCAGGGGGGGGGGCCGACGATGGATCAGGATATGTGCAAGGAAGGCATGAGAGCTGATGGTGCTTGACTGCTCCTAGAGGCGGTGACGATAGGGGCGAATAGCCCTGGGGCGGGCATTCCACGCATTCGCCTGGGAGACTTTTCGATGACATAGATCATCGGCGCACCTAAATACATGGATTGCTCTCCCCTGGGCTATTCGCCCCTGTCATCGCCTCTGATTCTACCTTGATCCAATCACCTCAACGCATCCGCTGCGACTCCCTGCTGATCCAGTCAGCGTACCATTTCGTCAAGTGATTTAGTGTGAATGTTGGTCGGTACAGGAAGGCACCACGTTTTCTGCTGCTGAAATTTTCCGACTCGTCCATGTAATTGCGCGACCACGCGCAGTTCCCCGAATATCTGCATTGGTCTGCCAAGTGGGCCCCGAGCACGTGCCACTTCATGGCCACGCTCTGTCCAGATCGAGCCCACGCCTCCACTATCTGAGATATTGCAGCTTCCAGCTGTCTCAACGACACCTCACTCATTTTCCGCGGCTGCCCAGCCAATATTGAATAATATGTTCTGAAGCCGCGGCCGCGCTCTAGGAAAGCATCGCCTTCATGGCCGAGCGGTAGGTGATTCAGCATTGCGGCGCCTCCCTTGTGTTCAAGGATATCCAACACCCACAAGTACGCAACTTTTGCTTTCCCCGCCTTCATCTTCATGTAAGGCGAGCTCAAGTGCCCCAGCATCGCCACCGTCAGACTGGAAATCCTGTCGTTCTGTACCACACCGTTCTCAGCATAGTAGCGCTTGAGCGAGTCGGTCAGAGCCCCTGTCAAGGTGATCCTGGTCATCTGCATTGTACACTCCGAAAAAATTCAAATGCAACAGTTGGATCAGGACAGCGGCCATCCAATAGAGTAGGCAACCTAGCTCCACCACGTGCATGCTGTCGAACAATATGTGCTCAGCTGTGAGCCCATCGATGCCTTCTTGAACTCTATGTGAAAGCATCTCCAAAACTAAGAGGGCTACTTTTGGGCCTTCTGCACGACAAGATCACTCGCTTGTCGGCTGGAAACTCGGAGGGGCGCTGACCGTGCACAACGTCCGGGTAGCACCGAACTCACGGTTCGATGCGGTCACCGACCTTCAGGTTTGGAAATTCGGCCATTCTTCTGATAACCGTGAGTCCACCCTTCTTTCTCTTTGATTCAATATTACGCAACAGAACGTCAACTTCGTTGTCCTGAATAGCGTGGTGTGACAAGCTTGTGGAGGCAACCGTCATGAACCACGAATGCTTGCGTTTTCGTGATCGCACGTCGAACTCGTCAAAGTCTGATTTGGCCTTGAAGCACCTCACGCATCCGTGCACCACCCGATAGTCCACCAACCCTAAGGTTTTGGCTACTTCGTCTAAGTCGGCGGCCACCTCGCACAGAACTGCATGGCACCGGCGGCCCTCATAGGATAACATATCTTGGCCAGCTAACCGGAGGGTTCCAAACAGGTTTTTTGGGGAGGGGGTTTCCCAGACAGCACCCCAGGGGCCTCGGAACCTCGTCAAAGCAGGGGATGCGAAACCCCTGGGGGACCCCTCCTGGACAACCACCTCCAAAAAACCCGTTTGGAACCCTCCGGGCTAATTGCCGTCGCATGGAGTTTTGAGGCCACGGAACGCCGTAATAGTCCTTGTCTGGCCAGACCCCTAACGCAACTATTCGGAAGAACCATGATATCACGTCCCACATTGCTTGAAACGCATGCGCCCCTCGGCATCCGCAGCGACAGAATTGCCTTGAGTGGGCGCAGAAAATCTGCACCCTCTCCCGCAAATGCACGCAAGCCACAAAGAACCGCCGAATGCCTCGAGGGTCATTCGCCCAGCATGTGCGAAACTTAGTTAAGGCAGCCAGGGCCCCCCTGACCGGAATCAACCGAACGAGTACGTGGCCGAAGAGCGAGAGGCCAGATGGGCCCCGCACGCGCTTTCCCTGGATCGCAACAAGCCGTTCATTTTAAGTCGGGCGTGTTCTTCTACAGGGGGAATGCTCCAACATAGTTAAAAAATAGTCAGGGTACGAGTTTTCCCAACCATTCTGTGGTGTTGGGTTCTCGTTTTGACGAGACGGTCCCCGCGTCTCTTCCTTCCTTCCTTCCTTCCTCCCTCCTCCTCCCCCTCACCCCTCCTCCATCACCATCATCATCATCACCATCATCATCACCATCATCATCACCACCACCATCATCATCATCATCATCATCATCATCACCCGTTGCAGCACACACCTCACACGGTTCGTGGCCTCATAGTGAGCTCCATCCAAGGCTCCAATGGGACCGCCCGCATGCGTCACCCACCACCCAGTGCAGCGTTTCGTGGCACCGGGGCCACAGGGGGCCCCACCGAAGGTTCCAGTGGGACCGCCCACATGCGTCACGCACCACCAAGTACAGCGCTTCGTGGCCCCATAGGAAACCCCACCGAAAGCCCCAGCGGCACCGCCCGCATGCGTCACCCACCGCCCAGTACAGCGTTTCGTGGCCCCATAGGAAACCCCACCGAAGGTCCCACTGGGACCGCCCGCATGCGTCACGCACCACCCAGCACAGCGCTTCGTTGCCCCATGGGGAGCTTCACCGAAAGTTCCCGTGGCACCACCCTCATGCGTCACGCACCACCCAGTAGAGCGTTTCGTGGCCCCATAGGAAACCCCACCGAAGGTCCCACTGGGACCGCCCGCATGCGCCACGCACCACCCAGCACAGCGCTTCGTTGCCCCATGGGGAGCTCCACCGATGGCCCGAGCGAGAGCGC